GGCCTCCTCTTCCTCTTTGTCCTTCCCCCATCCTCGGTCGCCAGCGCTTCTCCGGCAGCCTCGTCCTGAAATCGTGCGATTGTGAGCTAGAAGCCTTCTGGGTCACTCACAAACCAAAGAGAAAAATAAGGTGCACTGGAGTTTCCAGTCTAAATATTTCCCCTGGAGGTGGAAAGGTGCGCTGGCGGCCGGGGAGCCGCGACCGGGGGCGCGCTGGGCCCCGCAGAGCAGCCGCGGGCCCCGGCGATCGCGCCGTGTTCGTCTCCTTTGTGTTTATTGAGTCCCTGCTACCTCTACGGATATTCGGGGGGCAATTAAAGAAAACCGCCGCTTCCTAGGTATTGTCTGTCGCCATCCTCGCCTTCTCCACACCCCCCAGCGCTGGGTATCTGGGAACTTTGAGCAGTTCTTAAGACACTGCCCGGATCCCTTCACCAGATAAATCAGCCGTGTAGGACTGGGAAAACTATCCAAATCTGCTTCCTTTCAGGTGCCCTCCTGCAAATAATACTACATTCCTTAAGTATTGGATCTTCTCTGAGGTCCCTAATATCATAAAATAATACCATGTTTTCATTATTTGAAAAAATTACCGCCATCGCGATAACTCATTCCCGCCCCCGTCCCCCACTTCCCCTACTCATCCTAAAGAAAGACACTGCATTCAATACTTGGAATATTCAGACCAATTTAAATCTTGGTAATGCTGGCAATTTATTCTTTTCAGGGCCATAGGAATCAAAAGAATTTACAGTCACTCATACTGGGTGACTTAAAGTCTGGAGATGTCTAAAATCCAAGGCAGTGTGTGAAAATTCATCTTCACTCCCGCACGGCGAGCACTAGGTCTTGTTTTTCTCTTACCTCACACGTTTTTCAGCTATTGGGAACACCACGGGAGGGAGGGTGGGGTGGAGCACAAGGTGAATCTACACCCACCTCCCCACAACTGCAGGGCAAATCCACACTCTAAAAGGGATTGAAATGTTTCAGCTCAGCTTCATTATTTGCTTGCAAAGTGTGAGGGCACCTACCATTTTGGCCTCGGAAAGAGAATGCATTCGAAAATCTTTGGCAAATTCCATATTTATTTGCTATCTTTATGCTATAGCAAAAATCATGCTTAGCTTTAAAATGAGAATGATCTGAATATAGTGGGAGTGAAAATAAAAGATTTTATTCTCATAGTGCTGCGATCTTTGTAGAGGAAATAAAAGTTAAAATCTGCTCTTTCGAACAAGAAACGTAATTTCTGTTCAAGGCAACATGAGCCATTTGTTGAAGAAGATAAAGCAAAGATTGGGGTTGCTAAAGCAGGCACTGAAGGCGGCACAGGCGGGTACTACAGCTGAATCCCCCTGTAATATAGGAGAGGCCAGGCAATTTTCACAAAAGATTAACTAGATTGCTATTTTGTAGCATGGACTCACCCCACATATTTAATGTTGTTAGACGTAGTCGAGCGAGGAATGAAAAAAATAATAATCTGTATACTTTATTTTTTGCTCCCTAAGGGAAAATTTTTAAGTAAATATAACATTTTAAAAAAATATGGGAACATGTCTGAGAGTATACATGCTTCTTACAGGAATAATAGTTACTTCTGAAAACAGGTGTTTGCCACGTTAACAGTAACCAACTATTTAGAGGAATTTTAGGCTACCAAATAGAAAATACGGCCTTTAATAATGCACCTCTTGAAAATCAAATTTAGTAAAATGGAAATATGTCTACTGCTTTTTAAACCACTGAATGTATATCATAACTAGGATCATTTGTTATCTTTTTAGAGCCAATATTCACTTCATTGTTGTGTGTCTATCTGTCTATGTACTTATTTATAAGCAAGATATGTAGTTTGTTTATTAACCATAAACATTGTTGGATACATAATGTTCAGAGTCTTAAGAGTCACATCTGATTAGAGTCAAAAATGACTATTTTTACTGAGATTTTTATCTTTTCATAATTCCATCTTTATAAAGAAAACTTCATGTAAAAGGACTATTACATAAAGAGATATTTCATGATATCTCTTAAAATTATAACACAGCCAGAGTAAGAATTGTCCCTTTTTCTTAGGTAAGAAGCATTTTTCTAAGCAAATAATATGCTAAAAATATCACTGGGTAAATATTTGACTTATTTGATTGATTGAACACCATTTTTAGAAGCATTCCAAGCACATGCATTCCCCATCTCTGAAATGAAGTTATAAGGTAGGATCCTTTCCTTTTTTCTCCCTTTACCTATTCTCCTGAAACGAGTTCACTTCTCATTGTTAGCTGCATCTATTTATCTCAGCTTCAGCCCTAAATCCTGAATTTGGATCTGGGTATCTTCTGTCTACTGGACGTTCCTTCTTAAGTGTTCCTTAGACCTGGTAATTAGTATAGATTGAACAATCCTACCTTGAATACACACACACACACACACACACACACACACACACACACAATGAACCAGTGGATGTTGTTACCCTGTTTGGTTCATCAGAACATGCTTCAGTAGCTAAAATAATGTTGTTTATCTTTTCACTCATTTATTCTCTGAATTACCCACTAGAGAGTGTGATCCATTAAAGCCAGAGCAGTTGGGCAGTACAGCAAAGGGCAGCAGCTTTGAAATTTATTTTGATCATGACCTATTT